TCTCACCAAGAAGCTTGTAAGTATCGCATTTCTCTGTGAGGCCCTGGACCGCGGCCTTGTGTTCTTCTCGGATTCAAAGAAAGGACTCATGATGCAACACCAAAGAATACGAGAAAGGAAGGAAATGTTAGAGATATCTACGATTCATAGTCATAAAGAAACAATGCAATGACCCTTGAAACTTACCCGATTCAGAGCATGCTGGGCCACGTTGAACAAGTAACCAACTTCCACCGCATCCATCTTGGCTTGGTCCTCTTCAGTGACCAAGCATCGGAGATAGCTAGCCACCCCTACGCGGGCAGAGAAAACTTGAGCGTCCACCGGGATCGAGATGATAAGTGGCCGCTTACGCTCAGGATCAACGCTGGGAGCCGGGAATTGGTTGGTCAGTTTAAAGCTCGAGGAAGCCTCACTCGAGATCTTCCTCGGTACGTCCAAATCACCAAGACCGGTGACAACTTCAACTCGGCGAAAAAATCTAAGAAGAAATCTTCCTCTCCATGGGCTCCCTCCTCGTGACAAGTCTCCTCCGCTTGAGCGTCACGTATCATCGAGTCAGGAACTGGAGGGAATGAGGGGGAACCCCCGATTTCTATTGCCACAAGTGGGTCTTTCGAGGCGTCGTCTTTGTTCTGGGGAGCCTCGAGCCTGGTTTCTGCTCCAGCATCGATAGAATCTTTGGTAGCCTTCCCACTTCGAGGTGAGGCATCTTCGGTTCTTTCCGGCTCGGGCTCATCAAGTCGGGGCAAAGCAGTTTGGGCTCCCACCGATCCGATGGTTCTTTCAATCTCTGTGCCAGCTCGCACATGAGTCACCGATCCAGACTTTTCTTCTTCGGTCACATCCAATATCTGATGGACGGACTCAAGAGATACGTGGATAACGTCCCCCTTAGGCTTGGGAGGCCTCCTAGCCGGCTTTTCTTTTTCGGGCCTGGAGAACTCGGAGCCTCCTTTCTTTTCTTCTCTTTACCTGCTTTGGGGCTAATGAGGAAAGAAGTGCCTCTTCTTCAGCAGAGGGGGGCCTCATTATTACATCCTTCCCGAGGCCTACAAAAAGGAAAAGATGAGTAAGTACAGTATTGAAGCCCGAATAAAAAACCTTTCCAAAGAAAGAAGATTACCGTTGTTACGGGCCTCCCATTGGCCCTTTGATAACTCCATCCAGGAACGCTCGGAGTAAGATTTTTGTGATACTAATCCCTCGGCTTATTGCCTTAGGTCGGGGATCACTTCCGGCACAACAGCCACAACTACAACACAAAAGCTTGGATGAGGGGAGGACAAGAGGTGAAACGGCAAAAATAAATATTCAAAGGCAAAGCAATACTTACGCTTTATGTTCCACTTTTCACGGAACGGCATATCTTCAGGAATTAGATCCGAAGTCTTTATCCGAACAAATCTGCCCATCCAACCTCGATCTCGGGTCTCGCCTATGCTCGAGAATGGGGGTTTGGTGTCTCGGCAGTGAAGCTTGATCATGCCTCCACGATAACACCGGGGGTCGTAGAGGCTCATGAGGTAACCGAGGGTAAAAGGATGCCCTCGATCTTGCCTACAAAGAATCGAAGGAGGATCACGATCCTCTAGAATGACGGATGGATTTGACCCAGGGTGACATCGTACCTCTTGCAAAAGGCAACGATGACATGGTGCAAGGAACCTATCGTGAAGGGGTAGGTATAGACGCTCAGATAACCCTATACTTGAGTGGTGATGGATTCCTCCGGGCTAGGCACTACTACAGTCTTGCCTACCCAGTTGCACTCCTCTTTCACCTTCTCGAGGGGACCTTGTGTAATCGTACACATGTACCTCGACATTGGTTCACATCGACCCGGTGTCATGGGTGTATTCTCCACCTTAAAATCAGTAGCAGTAGCGCACTTCGTCGGAACGAAGTCCACGAGGGGGTGTTCCGCCGCGGCTACGGCGCCGGCGGACTTTGATGAAGAAGCGGTTTCCTTATTTGGAATGGTTTTTGAAGTTTTAGCCATTCTTATATGCAGAGAAAGATGAAACGGGGGAAGAAATCTTGGTGTTTTGCGATGAGCAAGTAAAGAAATTCAGGGATATGAGAATATAGAGCTTTGAAGAAGGCAAAGATTTTGGAAATTAGAGGGAAGAAAATTTGTAAGTAAAGTTTGAAAGATGAAGAAAGATGCATTCATAGGTTGAAGGCTTTTGTGCCGGTGGTGGCCGACCGTCGGCTGACAAGCATTAAATGCCTAGAGAACTGTACCGGCAGGACGTTTCAGTCACCTCTGCTACTTACGTCATGATGCCTACGTCATGGTAAACCGAGGGGAAGTTCAAAAACTCAATTTTTTTCTTGTCATTGCACTCCAAAAAAACGAGGGGACTATCTGTATACGGGTAAAATCGAGCTTGCCTAATTTTGTATGACTAACCGAAATCGGGCTAATAGATTAAGGCTCGACCTCGATTATATCGGAACATGATACGGAGATAGATTGGTAACCTCGTGGAACGATGGCCGATAAAGATCGAAATCAGCCGTGATCGACCGAAGCGAGAAAGAATCAAGAGAGATCGAAGGAAGCTTGCTAGGTCGAATAACATAAAAGCCGAGATATCCGTGATCGGGCAAGAATCGTGGCGGAAATCTCGGCATGTATCAAGTCAAAACCAGATATTTAGCCCATCATGGGATTTCCTTCTGTAATTAGAATTATACCTTAAATAGGATTCCTCTACTATATAAAGAGGGTCCTAATCATTTTGTAATCATCATACCTTCACGCATATCAAAGCAATATATTACATTTGTTCTCTTGCAAGCTCTGTAGTTCAGTTCATACTTTTCAATAGCTTACTCAATTGGTTCGAGGGCGGTCTAGCTCGAGGGCCACAGCTGTTCATCACATTGGTTTGTTTTATTTTACTGTTAATTTCTCACATTGATTCTCATATTTATCAGTTTGTACCAAGTGAAATCACATATCCTTAAAACCACTTATAAATTTAATTGTTATCTTGTTTTAAGGGCAAACAAGTGTATTACTATATGAAAAATGAACATATTCATATAGCTATGTCCTCTGTCTCTGCGTGCAATGAAAATTGGGCATATATTATTCCATTATTAGAAATTCATTTCTCCTTTTCCTTTATCTTTAGCAGGTTAGGATGATTATTTCACTCGCTAATATTCCTGTCGGTGATTGGAATATGTCATTTGGATGTCCTATTCTTGCTGTTCTTGTCCACAAAAGAAAACAGAATGGACATTTCCCTAGCTAACTACTGTCATCCCCCTAAAAGATACTAATAAAAAGAATAATAAACATCTTTCCTTGTAAAGTTAAGCAGAAAAATAGTACAATGGGAGAGGAACTAAAAATCAGGGATTTGCTTCAGCACAACACATTGCATATGCGTCATGTATTGCGTATAAAGAAAATAAATTAATAAGAAAAAGAATAAGTATAGGGAAAGTAAGGAAAATATTTGAATATAACATTTGATTAGTAGTACATTTTAAGATAATGAATATTCTGTCAATTAACTAACCATTAACTAGATCATATCTATTGAAATTTTGGGCGAAAGCCATCAGTAAACAGTTGTTATATATTTTAAAATATATCTTATTGTAAACTTTCTAGGATTTGCTTTAGAATTCAAACTTTTGAAATACGCACGTCTTGAATCATATGGTCAAAGATAGGCAAAGTCCATTGCAATTAATTAATAGTGCAAAAATACGCATATCTCCAAACATCTCTTTCAATTATATCATCTAGCATCTTTTTAATCCTAAAAGATGATCTATATCTTGAGCTACAAACGTATCGTTTAGAACATTATTGAACTTTCACATTCGATGGTATTAACGTGCTTCTGTCTTGCATAAAAATTCAACCGAGACATGTAATTCTATTTTAATTTTCCAGGAATTCTAAGAGTACGATGATTAGTTACGTTATTTATGATAAGGTTCCACTTAATAAGAATTCATGGGTAGCAGTTAGGAGGAAATACACTCCCAATTTATGTGGCTATGTTTGACTTGGCACATAGTTTAAGAATTTTTTTTTTTGTTTTTTAAAGTTTGTTGTCTAAAACATGTCACGGATCATCTCATTAAGGGTGAAGTAAGAAGTTTAAATTTAAATTATTTCGAAATAAAGAAGTATGCTATTTTTTTTTAGAACAAACTAAAAATGAAATATGCAACATAAATGGAGACATATGAAATATTATGTTAGAATGACTTGCGTTAGTAGAGAGAATGAATTGTTGCTTTTTCATATGATCTTAGATAATTCTCCCCCATGAACTAAATTTGAAGTTAAATAAGTCCGAAGCCTTGTTTTTTTACCTGATATCAAAGTCAAACCTATACTTCTTAATGTTTCACCTAATTTGGGGCTCATATATCATATTGTTCGTGCTTCGAATGTTCATCATAGGGCGAGAGGGGAAGAGGGGCTGTTGAATGTTTTTGCATTGGTTGAAGCAGAGACGGAGCCATGATTTTAAGTTTATGGGTTCTGAATTTGTTTCGGAACCCATAGATCGTCTTAGTTATTGGGTTCGCAATTAAATATTCGTACATATTTAATGAATTTTTTAATATAAATACAATACTTCAACAAAAATGACTGAGTTCGGCCGAACCCGCACCTATAACGCTAGCTCCGCCTCTTGGTCGAAGGATAAGGTTGTTAATTACTTATATGATTTTTGGATACTTTTCAGCTCATGATTGATTTGGGTCGAATCAAATTGAAGTTGAAATTCTTTTACACACATTAGTGTCGGTTCGATTTGATGCTTCTAAGGCACATATAGATGTCAATTCCGAGTATTGATTAAAAAATGATGAGATGACAAACTAAGTCAAGTCAAAGAAACAAAGTCAAAAACCAAAGCCTCTACGCTTCTTGATTTTGTTGAGTTGGCAAATAAGACTCATTGTCATAGCTGCCCCATGTTTGCCCGTATTTAATCATCACCATTTTCTGTATTTTTCTCAACTACTATATAAACTTCATCATTTTTCTCTATTTTGACACCATCACATATCAACTATTTTTCTATAGTAATCATGGCTTCTTCTTGTTTACATGCCATTCTTTTATGCTCTCTTCTTTTCATTACTTCAACCACGGCCCAAAACAAAACTTCTTTCCGTCCCAAAGGCCTAATTCTCCCAATCACAAAAGATGCTTCAACTCTCCAATATCTCACCCAAATCCAACAAAGAACACCTCTTGTCCCTGTAAGTTTAACTCTTGATCTTGGTGGCCAATTTTTATGGGTTGACTGTGACCAAAGTTATGTCTCCTCCTCTTATAAACCTGCGCGGTGTCGCTCCGCCCAGTGTTCATTAGCCGGAGCTGGCGGCTGTGGACAGTGCTTTTCTCCACCTAAACCAGGCTGCAATAATGACACATGCGGCCTGATTCCTGATAACACGGTCACTCAAACCGCCACCAGTGGAGAATTAGCTTCAGATACTGTGCAAGTGCAATCTTCTAATGGTAAAAATCCTGGAAGAAATGTAAGTGACAAAGATTTTCTTTTCGTTTGTGGCTCTACATTTCTTTTAAAAGGACTTGCTAGTGGTGTTAAAGGTATGGCTGGTCTTGGTAGGACAAGAATATCTCTTCCTTCTCAATTCTCATCTGAATTTAGCTTCCCTAGAAAATTTGCTGTTTGTTTGAGCTCTTCAACCAACTCAAAGGGTGTTGTTCTCTTTGGTGATGGTCCTTATACTTTCCTTCCTAATAGGGAATTTTCTAATGATGATTTTTCCTACACTCCACTTTTTATCAATCCAGTCAGTACAGCTTCAGCTTTTTCCTCAGGAGAACCCTCTTCTGAATACTTTATTGGAGTAAAATCCATCAAGATTAACCAAAAAGTTGTCCCAATAAACACAACTTTGTTGTCAATTGACAATCAAGGTGTTGGTGGAACTAAGATTAGCACAGTCAATCCTTACACCATTTTGGAAACTTCAATATACAATGCTGTTACAAATTTCTTTGTCAAGGAACTTGTCAACATCACTAGAGTTGCATCCGTGGCACCATTTGGGGCTTGTTTTGATTCAAGAAACATTGGAAGTACAAGAGTTGGACCAGCTGTGCCATCCATTGATCTTGTTTTGCAAAATGAGAATGTTTTTTGGAGGATTTTTGGAGCAAACTCAATGGTACAAGTGAGTGAAAATGTTTTGTGCCTTGGGTTTGTAGATGGAGGTGTTAATACAAGGACATCTATTGTGATTGGAGGATACACAATCGAGGATAATCTTTTGCAGTTTGATCTTGCAAGATCAAGATTGGGATTCACATCTTCAATTCTTTTCCGACAAACTACATGTGCCAATTTTAACTTCACTTCAATTGCTTAGGTGGTGTGGACGGAAGTTTTTTGTATTTTGATTCTTAATAATGGTCTAAGTATGCCTTTTGAAATAATTTGTAATAAGTGGACCTCTACTCTTTAAATAAGAGGCTAGCTCACGTAGTAATGCCAGATATTTACTTATAAGATTTCATGTAATTTGTGGGTTTTGTTAAATTGGGTGTGGATAATGCATATACATTTGTTCAACTTTTTTGTTTTTTCTTTTTAAAACTTTAGATAACTACTGAGACTTTTATGCGTTTCCCTTCTAACTAGACTTGTAGTCCTTTTATTCATCGCCGGACCTTTTCTCTTTGAAATTGTTGTTTAACATCTTAACTAATTCAGCTTATCTCGTTCCAATGACACTTCTGAAAGTACGGGGACGGGGGGGGGGTGGGGGGGGATTGTTGACTAGTTTTCCAATCAGTCGGCTGGATGTAATAAAGTGATAACAGTAAGAGCAGAGTTCAAGATGCAGAAATAAAGTGCAAGAATTAAAGACACCGGAATTTTTATACTGGTTCGGATTCAATGTGAATCCTAGTCCAGTCCCCTTGGGTTGAAAGGGAGTTCTCTTTCAGTGAATGAGTTTCTCGAGAACATAGTGAGTGGTGTGGTTTACACCAATGGTTCAGTTCCTATATCACTCGTTTCTCTTTGATACAATGCTTCACCAGTATTGTTCTCTCTTTCTTCTCTAACTTGTTACACAACAAATCTAGTAGAGCTACAATGTTTGTTTGCAGTAGAACAAAGAGAGGGTATTTGGTTCGATCAAAGTATATTTTTCTAAGCCTTAAGGAAGTGTATAAATACTATGTAAGAGGTCGTTTGCTGAAGAGATTTGACAACCCAAGCGATTGATCCTTGGAAAGAGATAGATTCTTTCCAAGAATAAAGTTATGTGCCGTTGCTCTTCCTTGATGAGAGGGTATTGATAGCCTTCCTTCTACAGATCTTAATGAGCAGGTTTACTCCTTGATTCTTGATCCTTCCGAAAATAGCATATTGCCTTTGCTCTTCCTTGATGAGAGGTCATTGATAGCTTTCCTTCTACAGGTTTTGATATCGTGGATTTTACTCCTTGATTATTGATCCTTCCGAAAATATCAGTTTGATTGATCGTCTTACAAGATCTTCGATGCTTCTTTTCCATGTCAATCAATCTGTGATTGATTTCCATTCTGAATCTCTAGTTGGTTAATTGATTCCTTCCTTTTGATTTCTTCAGTCTTGGATGCTTTCCATGAGTTCCTATACCAAAAACAGTTATATTATTTTTCATCATTGAAACTAAAACCTAACAATCCCCCCCCCCCCCTTTTGGTGATGACAAAATAATATGTATGTAAGCATGTAAACATCAGTTGACTTTTCTTTATTTTACTCCCCCTCAATGAGTGCATCGGGCTCCCCCTCAGTCGACTGCTTCTGCAAGATCTCTGACTCCCCCTCAAGTTAGCTTCTCTTCTCCTACAGTTTCTACAGTCGACTAACATTGCAATTGATGTACCTACACTACAATGGATGTACCTGCACATGTACCTACACTATCTGCACGAATATAGATATCCTGTCTCCCCCTTTTTGGCATCAGCAAAGAGGGGATAAGATAGCAGCACGCTATAGACCAAAACATCTCCATCAAGCCTGTCATGTACCTCCTTGAATGCCTTGACTACATTTTCCCTAACTCTGAGAACTGCGACTCTTATCTTTGAAACATCAGACCCTGTCTCTTTTGAGATAGCATGAATATCTCCAACAGTGGACTGGGTAGCAGAAAGAAGATCTTTGATGGCGGACAGCTGATTGTCAATAGCAACTAGTTTCTCAGCAAGGTCTGGGACACTGGGACTATGATGGGAAACAGAGGGTTTGAGTTTTGGATCAGGTTGAGCATGTTTGACTTCACCTTCTTATTATTTACCCATGAGCCCTTCACACACAAATACCCCATACTTGCAAATGCTCTGGAATTGTAAGATTTTGAAATAGATATGAAGGGATATTCAGAGATGGAGATATTATGTGCCTCCCGAATGTGAGTGATGGCCATGCCATAGGACAGACTGGTGGGATCATCAACACTCTGAATCATAAAATTGATGACTCAGGAGGACAGATTGATCTTGAGTTTTGTCACAAGGCAATAGACAAGAAAGGTATCTCTTTGAGAAAAGGTGGAGAAAGAGCTAGTACGAGGAAGCATAGTAGTTGCAACAATGTGGGCTAGAACACAGGTTTCAAAGCTAACATCACTAGGACCTAACTGCTTTGGGCGAGAATCAGATGGACACTCAGCAATACACCATTTTGCTTGATCAAAAGTGATTTCAAAGTCATCAGGCCAGGAATTTTTGAAGAGGATGGGAACACTTACACTGGAAAATTGAATCAAACATGGCACAATCAAGAACAATGCGCTTCCTTAACACTAAGGATTCCAACTTATCAGGCATACTGGAACGAAGATTTGCATAAAATATTTTCACTAGGGGTTCATAGACTTTAGGAGGAGGAACAGAAAAGAATTTAGACCAGCCCTGATGTACAAATAGATATTTTACCTTGCAATTTAGGGCTTCCATGTCATCAAGGTCGACTACCCTCCCATGAGCAATTGTCTTGTCTTTCAAAGCGATGAAAAAAATCCCTATTTGGAGAGTCCCTGAAATTTAGGTCAGACTCTAAAGAACTAGAGAGATCTATTTTCGGCTTCTTTGGAGTAAAGGATTCAGGGGGTTCTTCCATCGGCCTTTTTCCTAGGGCTTTTTCTCCTAAAGTGTGAGAATGGTCTGAAAGGTCTGCTTGAGAGGAGGCAAAACCTTCCGAATGGTTGGACCCTAGGTCTACTTGTTCTGGAGGTTGAGATGGGGGTTTAGTTCTGGAGCGAGTACTCTTTCTGGTAGAGGCAGAAGGATTTTTTGAGTGTTTGGCCATGGAAGAGCTTTTGGTGAGAGAATGTTTTGGAGAGGGTTTCTAGGCGATGAGGACGATGGAGACTGAAAAGGGTTTTCAAGTATTAAAAGAGGGTTTCTGACGGTTGAGTACAGAAAAGAAAGGGGTGTCAGTTGAACATATGTGATGATTGGGTTTCCTTCTTTGAACTCTGTAACTGATGTGAAAAGAGAGGGAAAGATGGAAATCAGAGGCGCAATTAATGATAAGAAAATAACAAAATTTGAATATTAGGCAAAAAGAAAATAATAGTAACACATAGGCCCAAATATTAATGACTAATGCAAACAATACCAAGTAATTCTCTTAAAAAGCAAAATTTGTCCTCTAGTAATGGCTTAGTAAAGATATCCGCTAGTTGATCAGTAGTTCCAACAAAAGATAGTTCTGTCTTCCCTTAAGAACATGATCTCTAATAATGTGACGCTTTGTATTTATATGCTTAGCCCTAGAATGATGCACATGATTCTAAGATAGACAGATAGCACCCTAGAGTTATCACAGAAAATTGGAATAGGTTTAAAGAATAATTCATAGTCACCAATTGATAAGACATCCATAGTAATTGTTCACAACATTGTCCAATGGTGATATACTCAGCCTCAGTTGTGGATAATGCGACTGATCCTTGCTTTTTATTGTTCCAAGGTATTAGTGCCTTTCCAAGTAATTGACATGTTCCACTGGTGCTTTTTCTGTCATCCTTATCACCTGCAAGATCAACATCTGAAAAACCTTCTAGTTTAAAATTGATAGATCGTGGATACCATAATCCGTGAGAAACAGTTCCAATAAGATATCGAATAATTATTTTTACTGCAGTCAGATGTGATTCCTTAGGAGCTGGCTAAAACCTGGCACATTTACAAACACTAAACATAATATCCGGTAGACTAGCAGTTAGATAAAGAAGTGAGCCAATCATTCCACGATACTTAGTTTCATCAATAGGAATTCTATGTTCGTCTTTGCCGAGACTTGTTGAAGGACTCATTGGTGTGCCAACAGCTTTAGCATTGCTCATACCGAATTTTTGGATCATCTCCTTTATATATTTTGTCTGACATATGAACGTTCGTTCTTTAGTTTTTTGAATTTGAAGTCCAAGAAAGAACGTCAGTTCTCCCATCATACTCATTTCGAACTCACTTTGCATAAGATTTGAAAATTCCTTGCACAGAAGAGGATTATTACTACCAAAGATAATATCATCAACGTAAATTTGAATAATGAGATTACCTTCTGATGATCTTTTAATAAACAGGGTAGTGTCTACTTTACCTCTTGTAAATCCGTGATTAATAAGAAATGAGTTGAGTCTTTCGTACCATGCCCGTGGAGCTTGTTTCAGTCTGTATAACGCTTTGGTCAGCCTACACACAATGGTAGGGAAACTTTGAATCAACAAACCCAGGAGGTTGTTTCACGTATAATTCCTCTTCAATCAAACCATTTAAAAAGGCACTTTTAACATCTATCTGGAAAGCCTGAATCTCTTAAAGGATGCATATGTAAGAAGAATTCGTATAGATTCCAGAGGAGCTACTGGGGAAAAGGTTTCGTCATAGTAGATTCCTTCTTGTTGTGAATATCCTTGAGCAACTAATCTGGCTTTGTTTCTTACAACCTTTCCATCCTAATTCAGCTTATTTCTGAAGACCCACTTTGTTCCAATTACAGGAGCATTTTCAGGCTTGGGTATCAGTTTCCATACTTGATATTTTTCGAATTGATCTAGCTCTTCCTGCATTGCTTGCAACCAGCTCGAGTCTTTCAGAACTTCCTCTATTTTCTTTGGCTGAATCTGAGAAATTAGTGCTATGTTTGCTTTCTTCTTGAGAGCTCCCCTGGTTTTCATTCCTTCGCTGAATTTTTGAGGATATTCAGGTTCACTTCTCCATTCATTTGGACGAACTATGTGAGTAGTTGACTCTTTCAGAGATTCTGGTTGACTGTTGCTGGTTTATTAGTTGACTCTATCACACCATCAGATCTATTAGTCGACTCTTGGGATTTGCTTGTCTCCTGAATTTCTTGAGTTTGATCTTCGTCACCTGCAATAATTCCTTTCTCGGCCGATGTGTAATTTTCATCAAATATAACATGTATTGACTCTTTCACACACAGTGTGCATTTATTATAGACTCTAAAAGATCTACTATTTAATGAATAACCTAAAAAAATAGCTTTATCACTTCTTGGATCGAATTTTCCAAGATAGTCCTTACCATTAATGTGAATGAAACACTTACTTCCAA